AGTGATAACCAAGGCATCATTGTGTGGGACGACAAGCCCCTGTACATCGTCAGCTCTAAACTTCAAAGTAGCCAAGCTCCGTTGCACCTGTACCTCAGCAACCTCATCCACCACACCCTTACCCCGGTAAGTCCTCTTCCTCTCTCTATGTGAGTCTCCATCGGTAGGACCTCCCGCGATCATGTGTATGACACCTTTCTTCACTGGTCTATCAGGATGCTCATCAGTCCTTCGCCGCTTGTCACCCGACTCTCGCCCTTCTCGACGATCATCCTGGCGCTCTCTATCCTTGATTACAAACTCCTTTAAGTGACCGGCCCGAATGAGCCGCTCAATTTCGTCCTTCAACTCCCGGCAAAAATTGGTAGAGTGACCGAAATCACGGTGGTACCGACAATACCTGTCCTTCGATGCCGAAAACTTCCGCGGTGGGGGCAAAGGTTTTGGTTGTGCGAGCAGCTTGTCCTCCCCTCGCTTTTCCATCGTCTCCAAGATCTCCTGCTGCGGCGCATTAAGTTGTCTATAATGCTCGTATCTCAGACCCCTGAATCGATCCTCAACCCTGGACTCCTTGGGGGCGGTTCGTCGATCACCCTGTCGAGGCTTCTCCTCTACCTGCTTAATCTTTGTCTTGTCACTTCGAAGGAAATCCGCCTCTGATTCCTCCATATTCACATACTTGCTGCACCTCTCCAGTAGCTCATCAAAGGATCTCGCCGGCCTCTTCGCCAAGGAATCTCTACACTTCCCAGGCCTCAATCCCCGCGTAAGGCCCCCAGCTTTTATCTCTTCTGAGGCCGAGGGGACCTCCACGCACTCCTTAGTGTACCGCGCTACATACTGTCGCAAGGTCTCCCATTCCTTCTGCTGCATATTGATCAACGAGAGGTACGTCTTCTCATGTTTTCTGGCACTCGCAAACTGATTCAGAAACAAAGAGCTGAATTTTTCAAAGCAATCGATAGATCCCGCCGGCAACTGGTGGAACCAATCTTGTGTCGACCCCTTCAAAGTTGTCAAAAAGGCCCGACAGCTCACGGCATCACTGTACCTGTGCAGCACGGCTATGTTGTCAAACGATCTCAAGTGCCTAGCTGGGTCCGCCGATCCATCATATTACAAACTCAACTCCCTGAAGTTGCTAGGCAAGTCTCCTCCTAAGACATCCTCTGCA